TGCCCCCCGCCCGCCCCGCCGGCCCCCCCCAAACCTACCTTCTGCTCCAGGTGTGCCCTGCGCAGAGACACCCGTTGCTCCAGCTTCTGGAGTTCTCTTTCGTGCTGTGCTTCTGTCTGCATCTTAATTTTGCTCTGGTATGCGTTGAGCAGCTCCATCTCCTGCTGGAGTTGCAGTCTCAGGGCTTGGCATTCTGCTTCTTGAGCCTCATCCAGACGTAGCTGGAAAGATCACGGGAGGTTGAGGTTGGACATGAGGAAAAGTGTCTTTCCTGCCAGGGTTGTGGAGGCCTGGCCCAGGCTGCCCAGGGCAGGGGTGGAGTCCCCACCCCTGGAGGGGTTTCCAAGCTGTGGAGATGTGGTGTGAGGGACATGGGGCAGTGGGGACCTGGCAGTGCTGGGGGATGGTTGGACTCGATGGCCTTAAAGGTCTCTCCCAAGCAAAACAATTCTGTGATTCTATGAGCATTGGGGAAACAACATTCAAACCTCCACTAGGGGCTTCTCTGCTCCGACACTAGTGACACACCACTCCTCCTCCTCAAAGCTGGGAGCTGCTGGTGTTCATGGCACAATGAGAAGCAAGAAGGGCTTCAAAACCAGCTGCTTCCCCCTCACACAGGGGCAGGAGCCTCAGACAAGACCCAGATCTAAAACCCTGTGTGAGGGGCAGCAGGGGATGGCCGCGTGCTCTGCTGGGGGGGTGTGAAAAGAGGGAAAATGCTGAAAATGCTAAAGCCTGATGGATTTAAAAGTGTTCACACAGAGTGCCAGGCTGGAAGAGACCCCAGGGACTGACCAGTCCAACCTTTCTTGCCAAAAGGCTGGTCTAGACAAGATGATCTTGTCTAGACCAATCTTTAAGATTCAGCACCCTGTCCAGCTGAATCTTAAAACCGTCCAGGGCTGGGGACTCAACCACCTCCCTGGGCAGATGATTCCAATGGCTGATTGTTCTGGCTGTGAAGGATGTTCCTCGTGTCCAATTGGCATCTCCCCAGGAGTAACTTGTACCCATCACCCCTCCCCTTTTCCACGCGACTCCTTGCAAAACGGGAGCCTCCCTCTTCTTTGTAGCCCCCCTCATCCTGGATGAACACAGCGTGGCCCCCCGCAGCCACCTCCACCCACCTCTGTGGGGGCCAGGAGGTCATGGGTGCTGCACCTACCGCCTGTGAGGCCATCATCTCGTTGATGCTCTGCTCGTACTGCTCCGCCAGGATGGCGAGCTTCCTCGTCTGCTCGTCCTTCAGACTCTTCAGAATTGTCTTGTGCTCACTCTTTGGAGTTACTTCCAGCTGGTGATTCTTCAGTGCTTTGTACTGCTTGGTTTGGACTTTGCATGTGTCCTGGAACTGCTTTTTGATCTGCATTTCCATAGCCTGCCAAGGAAGGGATGCTGTGAGGAGCACGAAGGGCTCTGGCACCGCCGAGGCTATGGGTACATCTCAGTGCTGTGAGTTGAGTGCTCTGCACACAGTGCCCCGAGGAGCAGCACCAGCTCAGGCCCTGCCCCAGCACCGACCACAGGCCTGGGTCAGGAGCAGGAGCCCCCAAGGCCCTCCTCAGCCGGGGGTGTCCCCGTCTCCTCCCGTGTTTCCAGCAGGTCTCCCCGCCCCTCACCCCGCCCCTGCCCCCCTAAACAGCCCCTGCTCATTCCTCGTTCTGCTGCCTCAAAGCCCCCACAAGCTGCCTCCTCCACCTGTGTGGGGGCTGCGGAGTGGAGAATGAGTGAGGGGGTGGCAAAGTGGGTAAAAGGCTTTTTGGGTGTTCAGAGGAGGAACAGAAATGCCCCCCAGCAAGCGGCCCGGAGGGTTCTCATCACCCTGCAGCCGAGCTGGGGCCAAGTGCAGCGTTCAGCACCCCCACGTTCTCTCTCTCCGTCGACTCTGAAAGTGAGGAGGCATCACCCCACCCTTTCCACAGCAAGGTTTGGAAGCTGAGAGCAGCAAGGGCCTGAAGGAGGCACAGCCCATCAAGAAGCACGTTGTGTCACACTTTGCTAAGGACTAGCCCGTTTTTACCCAGCAGCCTCAATTACCACGGCACTTAAAACCAAAAATCCTCGGCGAGCTCTTTGCTTTAATAGCAGCTTTCTGGTGCCAGGGCAGGGACACGGGGGTGGTTCTGCAGCACGGCCCGCCCGGCAGGACAGGAGGAGGAGGAAGGAAACCTTCCAGCACCTTCAGGTTCTTTGGTTGCTGCCGGAGCTCCATGAAATGCTTCCTGTGCAGCTCCCGCTCTCGCCGCTTGTTGTATTCCAGCTGGTTCTCCAGCTCAGTCTGGTGCTGCAGGCGGATGAGGTCCATGCGCAGCTTCTGCAGGGTGTGCAGCTGCCTGTACTCCAGCTCGCGCGTGGACTCGTCGTGCCGGATCAGCATGGCGTGCTCCATCTCCTTCTGCGTCCGCTTCTTGTTCAGCTCCTGCAGAGCACACGGCGCCGACGCTCAGCGGGGAGCCGCCCGC